CGTGTGTGTGTGTGTGTGTGTGCGTATGAGTGTGTGTGTGTGTGTGTGTGTGTGTGCGTGTGCGTGTGCGTGTGTGTGTGTGTGTGTGCGCGCGCGTGTGTGCATGCATGCGTGCGCGCGCGCGTGCGAGGGTATAAATGCATTACTCAGGTGTGTGTGTTGTTGATGCAAGAAAACAAGTGTGCAATGAGCATGGCAAGGGATGCAACTTCGCGCAGGAGAGGCCGCGAGCTGGCATTGCATTTAGGGCAACGGGGGCGACAAAACTGGCACATCCTTGCCGGCAGGACTGCACCTGCAAAGTCCATGAGCAGTACCAAGGCAGAGGCCTGCGCACCGAGCCGGGCCAAGCAGGTGCTGCCCCCCGCCCCCTGATCAAGGCCTGCTGCTTAGGCCCCCCTCCACCTCAGCACCCAGCTGCTGTAGCCTCCCACCTGGTAGAAATCAACCCCGATTGACCGTGCCTGCATTTGGTAGGGGCTGCGGCTGGTGGCCAGCACCCTGCGGCGGTTGTCGAAGGGATAGTGTCGGCCACCCATTTGCAAAGGGCAGCGATGAGTCACAGGCGCGGCCTTTCTGCTGCTGTCGCGCTGCCGTTGGGCGTCCGACGGTCGCGCAGCGGCACGCCCCCTGCTGCTACCTCGCACAGGTGTGCTTATGGCATTAGGTGGTGCGGCCGCCATGGGTTGCGCAGCACCGCATCCGCGCGCTGCTGGGGTCGCCATTGCATTCATGAACCCGCCCTCGCCAGCCCGGGGGGTGGCCTGCCGACGCGGAGGGAGTCGCGCCAGCCCATGCTGCAGCAGCACACGCCAGCCGCCTCTGCCTGCCGCTGTGCTATCACTTGGCGCACCTGTGGCCGGCCAGCACCATCCGCTTGGCGATGAACTGGCCAAATGTCCCAAAGCCGACGATGCCGACTGTCAGCTGCTGCTCCTTGGCCAGCTTCTGCCGCGCCCGATGCTCAAAGTCAAACGGCTGCGCGGCGTCCAGCGCCAGCACGCGCACCGCCCCGCCTGCAGGACGGCCGCGTCGCATGGTGCTCACCGCAAGTGGCTGGCCAGTCGGCAAGCGCTCGGCGCAGCGGCTGGGCGGGCATGCGTCGTGCAGAATGTCGCGCACCTGCGCGGCGTCGCCGGGCGACGGCGTGGCTGCTACTGGTAGGCCGCGAGACCCGCGAGCTTGATGAAGCACGCCTCATCCCTCGTGACAGCTGCGGGAGTGCATTGCAACGGCATGCGCTCCACTGCAGAGAGGCTTGATGGGCCGCCAGCGACATAACGACGCAAGTCTGCGATCGCAGCTACAGAATTGCAGCGCGTCCTATTGTTATGGTTATGCTCGTGAAACACAGCGAGATCTGGTATGCAGGTCACGAGGTCTGTCGTGTATTTGCGCGTGATGCGTTCCGAGCCGAGTGTCAGTAATGTATACTAGGTGATCCGATAGAGTCAACGTGCGTGCGTGTGCGTTGAAGACGTGTGATTGGCGAGGTCGCTGAATAATGACTTCGTGACTGATGGGGTGTTGCCTTCAAGGTCGCCATTTCATGTTTTCACTGAGGCCACTTTACCCTGACAACACGCTCTTCCTGTACTGCAGCTCTCTGAAGTATGCCGCATTGCTGAATAAGTTGCAAGTGCGGCCACCCTTGCATGCAAAGGCCAATACTGTTGCCCACCTGGTAGCAGCTGCGTCAGCCGGCGCTTGAAACCGTGGCAGTCAGGACCCAACCAAGGGGGTTCAAGGCCCCGAGCCGCGCACTGCCGCGCTGCAGTCAAGCTTTCAATATGACGTGTACCGAAAACATGTACTGATTAGGGTCGTGTGAAGAGATGTCAGGTTGTAAGCTGACCACTCGCCTGGCCCTGGCCGCCCGTCATGTTGACCCAACCCTAAAGGACTTACAGGGGTGCAGGTCACCATAACATCAGCGAGGCCCAGCGGCACTGCCTCAAGGGCCGCCATCATGGCAGATAAAGGCAATTCTCAAATGGCAAGCGTCGAGAGAGAGGCGCTTGGACCGTGGAGCCCGAGACATGTGGGATGACGTCGACAGTATGCAATCGTCTGGGTGCTGGCGCCCATGTGATCAGAGGAAATGCCCACTCGATTCGGGTTGTGCTGATCGGCTACAAAGGTTGTTTGCACATTGGCAGCGACGCCACAGACACACAAGGACCGCTGGCCAGCAACAGCGGTGGCACAGGACGTCAGGACCCCCAGTTCCATGCAAGCGCGAGGATGCAGGCTGGTGCGAGCGGGTGGCTCTGTGGTCTCACACACCTCTTGCCAAAAGTGCAAATGCTTCAGGATCATTAGACCGGTACGTTGTCATCTTTGAGCGTGCCGCATGTGACTTGATGGCTGGCGCCACTCACCTCGTCACCCGCCACCCAACAGCCGAGCCCCACTGTTTCAAACCCTGTCATGGGATATCGTCATGACGCGATTTAAGCAATAGTTACCACACGACAAGTCGTGTGGCAACTGCGAACTGCCTGCGCACCGTCGGTGCCGGGCAGCGTGCCAATTCAAAAATGGCACGCTCGAACGTGACAGGGCAGCTGTCAGCCCTCTTGAGCGCCCTGGAGGCACAAGATCTCGCCCAGGCCGACGCGGCGGCCGTGCGTCTGGCCGCAGCGCTGCGCCGCTTCCCAGGGGGCGTGCAGTCGATCAGCGCCGCCGCTTTTGACGAGCTACTGCGCCACCTCAGCAGCCCGGTGTCCGAGCGGGCCTACGAAGTTGCCGCCCGTGCCACGTGCGCCTGCTTGATGGCAGAAGGCGACGACGAAAGCCGGTTTGCTTGGCAGGTCTGCCGCGCCGCCGGCCCCGCCGCTGCCCTCGTGCGCGGGATCGCCAGCCACGACGCGGCGCTGCGCTTGCGCGTATTGGCGGCGCTGCCGTGCGTGTTTGCGGTCATGTTGGAAGCCCTCACGGAGCAAGAGCAGCACCAATTCGACACAGCCATAGCAAAGGTGGGTTACAGGTCGCGCCGTCAGCACCCTCCGGCTGCCCTAGCGGCTTCAGCGTCCCCCGCCGCCCAGCCCTCCCCCGCCCCCAGCGCGCCGCGTGCCTGCTACATCTGCGGGCGGTAAAGCAGACTCCCAGAGGAGCGCGCGCCCCCCTGCACCCTGCCACGCGCGACGCTGCTCTGGAGACGCGCTCATCGCACCCACCCTGCTCACTCGGCCGGCGCCTGCGCATCCTACCCGCGCTTGCTGGCGAGCAGGCGCCCGGTGTCCCCGCCGCAGTGGGCCGGCTGCTGGGCGGCAACGACGAACACCAGCGCAATCTTGCGACCGGCCTGCTGTGGAAGATACTGCACGCCACGCCGCCCACCGACAGCGCCGCCGCCTCAGAGGTCGCGCGCCAGCCGGGGGCACTGCCCGGCCTGATCGCCGCCGCGGGCGTCGACGCGTTCGCGCTGGTCGCGCTCAGCGCCTGGCTGCGGCTCGTGCAGCTCCACGTGGCCCCGGAGGACATGGCGCGCGGCGCCGCCGAGGCAGGGGCGCGCGGGGCGCTGCGGCGCGTCGCGGGCGCGGCGGGGCGGCTGCTCGCTTCCGAAGACCCCGCGGACGACAAGGACTTCTCGTTGATTGTCAACGGGCTTACTTGTCTGTGCCAGAACGAGCTCGCCGCCGCGGAAGTCGCCGCAAACGCAGGAGTGGTAGGCGCGCTGAGGCGCGCGCTGCTCAGCGGCGCCCGCGCCGAAGCGGGACTGAGGCTGCTGCTGAAGCTACAGCGCTGCACAGGCGCGCCCGCGGTGGCGCCGCCGCGTGACGGAGGCGAGCACCGCCGTGGCGGCGGCGGCGGCGGCGGCGGTGCCGGCAGCGCCGAGAGCGGCGGCGGTGGCGGAAGCCTGGGCGACCCTGGGCTCTTGGCCGAGGTTGTGCGCGCCGCGGCGTCGGCGGACTCGGATGTGTGCCTGCTCGCCTTCCGCTTCATCGGGGCCGGCGCTGGTGTGTGGTCGGTCCCCCTGATGGCTCCTGTCGCGGTCTCGGCGCTGCGCAAAACGGACTGGGAACTCACAACGTGAGCCGGGGCAGCGCGCTCCAAGAGGGGAGCGGGCGCCCTCTGCCGCCTGACGCGCCCGCCGCCTGCGGCTCAGCGCACAGCCCGGCGGCGGTGGGCAGGGGACCCGTGTGCCGAGTTGCTTGAACAGGGTGTTACTGTGCTGCCATGTTGGTGGCCGCTCTCCTGCGGTTGCCGGATGCTAAGCCCCAGATGCCAAGCCCCAGCTTGCTAAACGCATTCCCTGCGCAGGAGGGCGAGCATGATGATGTGTTTGCCCTTGACACCAGCCACCAACGCCACGCTGCTGCAACTCGGCGCCCCGGACGCCCTGCGCGCCGCCGCTGCCGTCGCCGCAGCCTTCGCCGCCGCCACTGACGGCGCAGCCGACGGGGGCACCCTATCGGACGTGCTCCAAAGCCTCGAGCGTGACGCAGCATGGGTGGCTGCCATGTGGGCGTCGGTCGCCGCCATCAAGCTGGCCGGGGAGGCGGCGGCCAGCCGCACCCCTGACGGGGGCCCCTCACCCCCGGCTGCCGCGCCCTGTTGGGCGCTCGACCTCGTTTCCTCGGCACTCGCTGGGGCGCGCAGCACCGCACGCGCCGCGAAGGCGCTGGGAGTGATGGCCGTCTCCCCGGTTTATGTTGTGTCAACGCTTGCACGCCACCCAGGGCTGCTGCGGGGCGTCGGTGCGTTCGTGGGCACCTGCGGGGACGCGGCAGTTGTGGAGTCAGGGCTGAAGCTGGTCAAGTTGATGACAAATCAGCAAACGGTGGAGTATCCTTGCGACGCATCGGAGGGCAGCGGCTGCACCGCCGCTTGCAGCGGCAAACCCGGCGGGTCGGGCGCTCGGGCGGAGCTGCGGCGCTGGATGAGCGTGCTCGCGCGCGCGCCAGACAAGGCCGTCGCGTGGGAGGGTGCGGCGGGGCTGGCCGCGTTCGACGCGAGCCGGAGGGCTAGTGCAGGTGATTCTGGCTCGGGCAAGGGCGGCGGCGATGGCAGCGGCGACAACGCCGGAGAGGATGCCGGTGTAGGCCGCGGCGCCGCGGCCAGCAGTGGTGGTTGCAGCAGCAGCGACGAGGCAGCGGGGTCGGCCGGTGCCAGTACGTCACAGCAGGCGGCGCCTGCACCGTCTCCTCAGCAGAAAGGGAAGCTTATCAGGTCGTGCTCAGTTTGCGGCCAGACAGAGGCGCAGCTGGGGCGGGCGCCCAAGGCCTGCGCAGGTTGCCGCAAAGTCAGGTGCGCTGGGGTGCTGGGGGATGAGTAAGGGTATCAGCATGGGACACGGGTTTATATGGCGCGTTAACCACCACCTGCCATCATCATTGGCATGTTGACTTGAAGGTGTGAAGGACGGCCGCGTTCTAGTGTGAACCTGACAGGTTGACATCAGGCCGGCTTCGTTGATGCTGATCAATCAACGGTAAAGTCGTGCCCCTGACTCCCCTGCTCGCTGCAGGTACTGCGGCGAAGAGTGCGCCAGGGCAGCCTGGCCGGCGCACAAGAAGGAGTGCAAGGAGCACCAGCAGAAACAGCAGGCGCAGCCGCAGCAGGCTCAGCCGCAGCAGGCTCAGCAGGCGGCAGAAAAGCAGCAGGCTCAGCAGGCGGCAGAAAAGCAGCAGGCTCAGCAGGCGGCAGAAGAGCAGCGGGAGCAGCAGCAGCAGCAGCAGCAGTGATGTTGTTCAAGCAGCGTTGCCTTGCAGGTGTAATATGTGTTTCATCTGTGGCCCCTGCCCCTGCAGCTTCTGCTTTGTTGTTGTGCAAATTTTGTGACTATGGCCGCCGTACTCTCAACCACTTGTTGCGTGCCACGCCTGGCGCCCATAATTTTTCATCCCTGAATCATGATTTATTTTGTCCTCCTTGAGCCACAGTTGCGCCACCGCATGATGTTTGGATGGGAGCGCTCCTAGATGTGTCCTGCGCATGCGCCAGTGTCGACAAATGCTGCACGTGCGCTTTCCTCCTGCGCTCTGCGTTGTCATGCACTGCATCACATGCAGTGTGTAACAACGCATTTTGTACTGTACTGCTGGGACAGATGGAGCTGTCATCCAACGACATCAAGATGCGGGGAACTTGATCACCGACCCGAATGACAGTCAGCTGTATCTAGCCACACACGTGGCATTCAAAGTAGAGACACCAGGATCTGCAAGCCCGTCTGCAACATACTTTACACCCCAGTCTTGGTGTATCAGTAAACACCACTGCGTGTGGCCGCATGACGTCACGGCGGCGGCTGGACGCCCGCCACTGCGCGAGGCGCCTGACGCCCAGTCAGCCTGTAGCTGAGGGGCCCCTCAAACCCGTCGTCGCAGATGGTGGCGCCTGCCGCGGATCCAAAACCACCACTGGCATGTAAAGGCACGAAGTGTTCTCTGGCGCCGTCGGTAGAAAGCCCCTCAAAGATTTTCTTTTGTCTTGACCGCATGCCGCTGTGTGCAACGCACCCGGCCTGAGCCCTGGCATGGTGGGTGCCATGCTGCGTGCTGGTCTTGCTGACAGCTGCACTGCAGCTGCTGCCGCCGCCGCTGCCTTCACACATCCCGACCAGCAGCTGCAGCGCCACTGTGTCCTCCTCAGCCTGCAGCCGGCGGCCGCTGCCCCAATCCACGACCGCAAACGGCACGCGGCTGCCGCCGATGCTCGACACCGCAGCGGCGGCCGAACCAGTGCCGCCGGAGCTGCTGAGCAGCTGCAGCGCAGAATGCAGCTCGCCTGTGCTGCCGCAAGCCTGCACGGTGGGCGGTGGTCGGGCAAACGTGCCGGCGCCTGAAGGCCCGACCAGCAGGCACCCAGAGACACGGCCGCCGGCGCAGCTGCCCTCACCCTCTCCTGCGCCGCTGCGCCGGCCAGAGCCACGCTCCAAGCCGGCAATGCCCATGGCGGCCCCGCCGCAGCTGCTGCCACCCCGGAAGCCGCCGCCGCTGCCACAGGCGCTGCCGCAGCCGCCAAACCCGCTGCCGAGGCCGCCGGAACTTGTACCCAGGCGGCTCGTCCGCCAGCCGCCGCCGTTCGAGCTGGCGCCTGGGAAGCTTCTGCAGCTGCAGCCGCCGCCGCCGCCGCCGCCGACGGGCAATGAGTCCAGCATGCTTGTCACAAAGCCGCTCACGGCCAGGAGCGGCCCCAAGCGCGCCGAGGCCGCCGCAGCGGCTGCGCCGCCACTGTGAACCTCCTCGGCGCTGCGATGCATCCCAGAGGCCACGCGAGCGAGGCGCCCGGTCAGCAGCGCCTCGAGCGTCGAGCGCCCCTCGCCGTCAAGGGGCACCTGCTCCTCAGCCAACGCGGCGCCCGCCCCACTGCGTGCAGCGCCCCCACTGCCGCCGCTGCTTGCGAGCAGCAGCGCAGGCAGGTCCGGCTGGCCGCTGGCCGCCGCCACGAGGGCGCCCAGCGCCAGCCTCGGCACGTGGGGCGGCCTGTGCAGGCCGCTGCTGTCGCCAGTGTGGGCGCCACCCGCTCCCACCTTGGCGGCAGCCCCCTCTGTCGCGCCTTTGCCACTGCTGCCGCTGTCCCCGCCGCCGCCGTCGTTGAAGCTCCCGGTGCTGCGTGTACTGCGGCTGGCCCCTGACCCGGCGCCCGCCGAGCCGCCGCTGCCGGCGCCGCCGCCGCCGCTGCCTGTAGCATTCCTGCTCCCGCTCCCAACGCCGCTGCGCCGCCTGCCGCTGGCCTGTCGCCGCGCCCTGTCCTCCCAGGCCTTTATGTCCTGGTCTGTGGGAGTGGGGAGGCGCCGCAGGGAAGCTGCCTCCCTGTAGTCATGCTGGTGCATGAAGGCTGCACGTTGGCGGGCGGTGCAGCAAAGGAGCAGCAGTTGTGGTTGGTTGGGCGGGTTGAGGCTTTGGCCAGAAACATGTGGCGATTTGAGGAGCATGAAGCCGGTTGTTAATTCTGCAACGCCTGCCTCCTTGCTAGCGCCTGCACGTGCGCCCCCCGCCACGTGGGCCAGATCGGGCCAGACGCAAATCCAAGCGATGCTGAGTGCGGCCAAATGGTTTCGCGCGTGGCCCGATCCAGTCAGCTAGCGTGGCGGGGGGCGGCCGCGCGGCCCCATGAGCCCTCACTCTTATAAGCCTTGAGCCCGTAGCTCGCCGCCAGCTCCCGCGCCAGCCGCGCCTTGGCGCGCTCGGCCCTCCGCCGCTCCCGCTCCAGTTGGACGACGTGGTTGCCCATCATGACGCTGTCCGCCCTGCTGGAATCGGACGCGCCCCCACTCGTCGCCCCGCCGCCGCTCCCGGCCCCGCTCCCGCCCCCAGCGCCGCCGCCGCCGCCGCCACCGCTGCCCCGGAGCCACCGAGAATGCGCCGGCAGCGGCGG